CCTTCCGTACCTTGACAGCATACTGCAACTTATGTAATGAGGACACAACAGTTAACCAAAACTCATTTAGGCTATCAAACTGTTGTTTAAAGTCCCTTCTTTGCACAAAATATGTTTTAGTAAATGTCACTTCTTATGTACATTTAAGTTTTACTCTGCAGGATGATGCATTTTCAAAGCTTGACATATTTTTAAATTCATCTACTGAGTATCTCACCTTTAATCTGAGTTTAGCTTGGCGGTCCGTCATAAGCAAGTTAGATAAGGGTGATGTGGAAACTTGAGATTTGCATTCAACAATAGACTTTCAGTGCAGTACGAGGCATCCTTCATCCAGTAGTTGAATGCAGATGTACGTAGATGTCATTTTAAGAATCTTTATAGAACAGGTTTTTAAAGGAATCCACATCAGGAACATTATTGCTGAAAGAACAGCCCTTCTATATGCCTTTTAACATGTCTACAGGGGATCTTTAAATGAACTCCACCCTCCGATTAACATAGCTGTAGCTCCGTCTCTCTCCCTGTATTTGTGTGAAAACTGCACGCCAGTCCAAACTCAGACACCAGAGCACGCAAATCAACGGCGAATAGAATTTCACCTCGTCATTATTCAGTAAGCAATCCTTTGCCACAGGGTCCTGTTAAACAAAAATAACTCCTAGAGGACACAACTTACATCATAACAAAACAATGCAGACCATATTTCAAGAGATTGCTGACCGCCTAATGGTCGTTGTTTTGCTCTCCACAATTATGGTTACCATTTGATTTACAGGGCTTTTTCCATAATGAAGGAAAGACCACCAACAAGGATAAAGCCATAAAAAACAAATGACCCAATACACATTTGGGAAAGATGACTAAAACAAACAACATTATTTAGGATTGTGAGTCCATTGTCTAAACTCACAGAACATTACTGCATTACCTCATGCTATTATGAGTGTTTAGTTCAACCTCATTGTTTTATTTCAGTCGAACCAACACCACAATAATTGAGGCTCTTGACGACGAACAGTTAACCTGATGTAAACAAGACTCAACGATAAAGTATGTAGCAGAAAGTGTCATATAAAAGTATAACCATAGTTTTATCACAACATTTAGTCAGTCCTAGTTTTCTCTCAAAATACCAATTCAAGTCAGCTCTAAAGTCATTTTGAAATCTGTCAGTTAAACAAAGCACAGATACTGATTAGGGAAAGGCAATATAACACTTGCAATGAAGGTGGCTGTGATCTAACGATCTCTGTCTTGATGCTAAACTCATCAGCGTTTCAAGTATTTAGCAATTGTACGGCCTAACCACGCTCATAACCATAAAGTACACTGGCAGCATTGCTGGTGACAAAATAAATTTATAGACTGTTCAACATCTCCTGCTCTCTGTAGCTGGCTTGCAAACCGTATAATTTCTCTGTTATACCACTCTTACCAACCATGCCTGCAGTACTGTATTCCAGCCAAAACATACATCAGCCATACAGAATGTGAATTACAGAGTGCTACGCCAACTTGACCCTGAAAAGTGGAGGCCAAAGAGGACTCCGGGGCACAGACTGATCCAGCCTCCCATGACAGGTGGATATAAAGTGGATATGAGCTGCCTGTTGAGAATGAATAGCTGAAGCAAGAGTCTCAAAATTAAATTACCTGGAGGCCATGCGCCAGGTTGTATTGCAACAAGAAGCTCCCCTGCAGTCACGTACAACACCTTTATAAAAAGGGCTGTCTGTAAAACCATTGATAAGATTCAGGGATCCTCAGAGCAGAGGACATCGAGCTGACACAACAGATTCTGGATTATAGCTTACTTGAGCCGACAGTATAGATTGTGTATAAAAATATGGACGTAGTGACCGTAACGTGACCCACTGGTTTGGAAAGCACCATTTTGAAGCCTGGAATTTGGGATTTGATTGCTGCCATCTTGCTTTGTTGAAACTGGATGTAACAAGCAAGGAGGGAGGTCTGATTGAGAACCTGAGAACACTGTGCATGCCAATATAGTAACCTAATCAATCACATGTAGCCCCGCCCGAAAACATAACCTGCTTTATCGTCTATTTTTCCTCTAATTGGGATCAAAATTTACAAAATGAGTATCATGCTGTATTCAAAAGTTTTGAAACTAGGGATTGAGACGATCAACTCATGAGGAGAATGTTTACTTGGCTAGCTTTCTGGCTGAGTTCTATACAATCTGATTTCTTTTTGCAGTGAAAGGAGTCGCCCACTGCTAGCCATGATAAAGAATGCAAGTTTGGGTTGCTTTATGTTGGTTTCACTCTTCAGACCTAGAGGCTATCTCCATCTTTTTTATAAGGTCTATGATTGATAATGAAAACACTGGTTATCTCTGTAGGTGAGAGACTAGGTAATTTGTAGAATAAATGGTATGTAAATTGATATTTTAACATGTAGGAGGTGTAATAGTTATGTAACACCTGAGACAAGACAACAAAAGGACACATAGTGCTTTACAACCTTATAGTACCGTTAAGCTGCCTGTTCATATCTGATCTCGACACTCGAACAATCTCTAAGGAATTGTGCCGTTTTCAAATTATTCCTGTCAAACCTGCTGCTTCTACATGACATCTTGGATTAGGTCACAGCTTTTACATGTGTAGAAACGTCTTACAATAACACATCATGTGCAACTTTGTTAGTGTGACTTCATTTATTCAGTCTTGTTCTGACAGTGATAAACATATTTCTAAGTCTCAACAAATAAGGTCAATACCAAATAGGTAGTGTAACCTGTCATTGTTCTCAGTCCATGACGATATTTCATCTCACTTTTCTATGCAGAATAGACCAGTTTTGGTAAGAATTTGTAGTGAGTAAGATTACTTTTAGTAATGGTTTATTCTGAGGGAAGGTGATGCCCTTTTGAGTAGAGAGGGGCAGGCATGCTGTGTGCTGCCCTGGGTGGTGTTCAGATAAATAAACAGAGGCGGCCAGACACATGTGAGGAAGCCAACCTGCCTGCCAGAGGACAGTCCTCAGTGGGACAGCCCTGGCAACCATTACTAAGGCTGACTCTGGCTCTGAGCCAGAACTGAAGTTTCGAGGCATTTTCACATGCCTGGCATTGTGTGGAAACCGTGCTTAGACATCAGTAAGCATGTGCTTGTCTAGACGCTGTGAGTGCACGAAAGAAAGAAGGCAGTCTGACTCATGTCATCTCTGTGTGTGAGTGTGAGACAGAAAGAGAGAGATTTGTGAGGTGTTCAGACCTCATCACCATTAGTCAATTGAGGGCCAAGGGCAAGGAAGCATAAGCACGTGTCACGGCTTGGCTGCACGCATTAAAAGCGCCATCGGATGGGCAGAGAAAAGAAATTTATTAACACTCGTGTCCAAGGAAAACAGACCTCAGGCCCCCCCACAGAAAAAATGGGCGAAAGATCCACAACTCACATCAACCTTCCTGCATGTCCTCATCTTGATCCGAACACCTACCTTGGACTAGACATACTCAAGCTAACTGATTGCGTTTCTCTGTACTCCACAAACTCCTTTCTTTCTTCAGTACTGGGTGTCTGTTCCTGTACATTGTGGCTCTCTGTTTTGTGAATGATTTCTGGATAAGTCTTACCTAAATAAAACTCCTTTAAGAGTTTCCATCAGTCTTTCCTGTAGCTTAAAACAAGTGAAGTGAAGGATTGCAGGGACAGCTCTGACTTCCTGATGGATACAGCGAGGGTATCAAGAGGAAGGGAGGGATTCTGAATACATCACTCTTTTTCGTTCTACATTAGAGGCCAAGGGAAAAATACTTCTCTGTGGACACCATTATTTCAGTAAGCCTGCACTCGTTGTAGGGATTTGGTATTTAAGGATGTTATCGGCTACAGTGTGAACTAGTGAAAAGGCTTGTATTCTGTTTAATTTGTTTTTCCTGCACAATGTTTGTTCCTTATGTAACAGTGCTTACCTTGTTTAGAGGGACTCAAGGTTGCTCTGAGGCCTTGATGACAACAAGCAGATGCTGCCCGTCTTTGTGCATGTGTGCTTGTGTAAGAGAAAGAGCTGCTGGTAAAAACAGGAGTGGGAGTCTCTGTGCTTTTCTGTTTGGTAACAGTTTTTCAAACAACAACCAATAAAAAGGTCGGAGGAAGGCTAACACGCCATCTTAAAACAGCCTCACTGTATCACTGTAATACCTCTGGACACATAGCTGCCTTTTCTCAAAACACGAAGGCCTTTACTTATCTAAAGAAACTTGACCAACAGCTTGGGAATAAGAGGCGCTCTCGGCCACTGTGAGAGCTTGGACTAGAAAAGCAGAGCTGAGGAGTAGAGAGATGACATCATCTTTCGCTAATACAAACCTGCTTGCCTTCTGTCTTTTAGATGAGGACACCAGCTCAGAAAAAGTTGGCTCGCAAACAATGTTTAGCTCAAGTGATTTGCTTCAATAACACACAAACACATACACATGTCACACACACACACACATGTCTCACACACACACTGTATCGAGCTCATGTGGTCAGTAAACAATGTCCTACTTTCTGGAAACCTTTATTCCATTTTGTCTGCCAAAGTAACAGTGATTGCTGTAAATGTGCTAAGAGTAAGACTATGAGATGACATAAGCCTCATACAAAGTAATGGCAGACGCAGGCCTATCCATTTCAATAACACTAACTGTTATGACAAGAGGCCTCCTGACTTAGGATTAGTCCATAAAGGCTTATATAATCTGTATCACTTATGGAAGCCACATAATAACCACTTGTACTATGAAGATATGATGCATGATCTTGTTTAACCTTGTTGATCAGACACACATATTTCTCTTGGTCCACAATGTTCAACTGCCACCTCCAATCATTTCTCATCGTTTCTCCTCGATGTTAAATCATGTACACCTAGGTAAAAGTAACAACATGGTGTCTTGGAATCAACATGATATCAAGAAATGCAACTAAGAATCTCTTTTTCAGCCCATCCAGACAGTCCAAATCAAGAACTAAAGGGACACGATGCAAGGCAAGAGAGAGAGGTCGAAGGGCAGACATACAAGAGAAGACCTGTCCTGTGACGACTTGCTGTTTCTGCTCAGTATTCTTGAAGGTGAACTACAGGTAGGATGATTTGTCCACTCTTGCATTAATTTTGTAGTTTAATGTAGCTCGTGTGAAACTCAAAAAGCGCATATACTGCATCAACTGTTACTGTAATTGCAGCAATCATAAGATCCTGAAACTAAAGCCGCTGTTCTACTGCAATGTTTGTCGCACCAGGCGAGAGATGAGGTAATTGCAATTTTGAAATCAGAGAAGACGGATTCGTGTCTACTGGGGGCCCACTACGGTTTCAGTGGAGCCGTGATGGCGCTCCGTGCCCTGCAGAGAGACTCCCTCCGGGCCCAGCAGGACCACTTGCAGGATGTGTATGGAAAACCAATTGCTCAGGTACCAACAGTCAATAGTGAGAAACTAGACGCCATATGGAGCGGATAATCAAATTTAATGAGATGAATGCATTACTGTCTGACAAAAGAACATCTATTACTGCTGCATCGTTGTACAAATGTGTTACTTTGCGCAACAGGTGTTGCATGCGGTGGATCTATCCTTGTGCAATAATTACAAATTTGTAAACTGAAGGATTGCAGATCTGTTTCGTGCAGTGAAAAATTTCCAATGAAGACTTTTCAGAGCAAGGTTTCTACATTATGCGACCAGTTCAGTGTTGCAATAAAACTCCATTACAGCATATTGTATTTCGATGGGTGAAAACTGCATCAAAAAGGTCATCAAGGGAAGCCCAAGCTGTATGGATGACTTCCTACTGTAATATGAGTGAAATTATCCTATAAAACTACAATTGGTGTCCAGCTTCTACAGTAATAAAAGCTTCATTTGCCACATTTACATACTGTAGGTACTGCTTCCTCATACACTCTGGGCAGCCCTGAAACAAGTCACAGTATACCAACATTTTCCTCCTCACAGCTTCCTATGTTTTTATCCCCTTCAGCTCTGTCACTTGATGGAGGCCCAGAAACGTTCCTCCAAACAGATGATGGAGCAGCTTCAGGAGGTGACCCGCTCTCGCAACGAGGCCCTACACAAGCTAGAAGAGCAAGAGAGCAGCCACAGGGCTTTTATCCACAAGAGCAACTGCCTTGCCAGTCTATTGGAGCAGGACAGAGAGAGGTTTGTGCAACGGAACCCAGAGATTCAAATGAATGCCTGAGCAAAAAAAGAAAACAACATTGATATTTTATAGTTCCCACAAAATTGGTAGCCTGTATTGAATCTAGGCTTGTACAAATATCCATCCATGCCTTTCGGAATCCCTTCTGATGTAAAAGAGATGAGGATTTACAGCTAGCGTAGGAGAGGCTAAGGGATTTAAGTATTTCAGCATACTGGAACAAGCCAGACCTGAGCTCTGTGATGTACACTTGTGCAGGCTTAAATTCTTTTAGTCTGTGTTGGTCTGTAAAGCTCTTCATGGCTGAGTGAGTGAGCAAAGGCACTGTTGGCTCCTGCATCTCTACTAGACAGTGTATGTGACCTCAAGACAGTACTTAGAGCTACTCCACTCAGACACAGTCCATTACATCCTGGACTTGGTTAGACTTTGTGGCCAGCCTGGCTCTGTTCACTCTCCCTTGTAAACACATAAACATGCACTCACATGCAATTACATGTACAGTCTAAATTGGCACTCTCCTGCCCAATTCAACAATACCACACAGCACAGGATAAAGCCCTCTTCTAAACTAAGTAAATGGGCTGAGGGTTTGCTGGCGGGTAGAAAGATTCCCTTCCCAAATAGGGAGCATATTTAGATGTGGCCTCCGGGTACAGCTAGGTCTAACATGAAGGTGGTCACTGGTTCTCCTATGCAATTTAAGGCCCACAACAGGGCTGTTTTGTTGAAGTCCCCGGTTGTCTCGGCTCATGTACCACCAGAGTCCACTCTGTAATCTAGCTGTGTAGAGACTGGACCCGCACTGGGCTTGCAGCCTTGGAAGGAGACTAGTTGTCTGCATCTGTGTGCCAAACTGAAAAAGCTTTACTGATCCACCACAGGCACACATGCAATTAAAGACCAAAAATAGTCACGGCAGTAGAGTGATTAAGTTTAGTAGAATTCTGTCTATTCAAATACAATGTGGAAACCTTAAACATGCACACATAAAGGCTTTGTGGTTCATCTTGGCCTAATGATGATTAATACATGAGTAGACAGCATGTCTGTGGTGTGGTGTGAACCCTGTGTGGCTTACGCATTCCTGAGTGCTTGAAACACAAAGTTTTTTCATCTCCTTGCCTACCCTCTTTTATGTCTTCTATTTAAAAAAAAAACTCATCTGAAACATCATGCTTTCATATATTACACTACCTGATCAGCAGGCCAGTGGTGAAAGTGTGCTGCTGCAATGTCACATTTGGACTGTTGAGGATATCAACAGGTGTACTCTTTGCTTTTGTTATTATCTTTTCCATGGTAGTGTCTCATTTTGACCCAAAACAATTATTGGACTTACTGATTAGTCAGTTCACAGAAAAATAATCTGTCAGAGTTTTGACAATTAATGAAATGTTATCTTTGCAGCAACAATGCCAGACATTACCCAACAACAGTGTTGCAATTTTCATCGAGTTTGTAGAGTTTTCTTAGTAGTTTTCATACTTATTTAATCATTTTGTTACATTTTATAGACTAAATGATGAATCGATGAAAAAAATGTTTGCTGTTGTTCTATTCCACCACATAATAGATTACATAAGTGCAAATGAACAATCAAGCCATATGAAAATCCTGTCTTTCCTGCATGTATTTCAAGTGTATTTGTTCTCAAGCACATACAAGAGGTTTTTTTCCCTTTCTTTACATTCTCAACTGCACTTCAGCTTCTTTGAGCTCGGCTCAAATAGGCTTGGGCTGAGCAACGCTTGCATTTATCCACAGGGTAAACAACACAAGGCACATGGCGATACGCTGGTCCCTTTCATCTCCCGCTCCATCCTGTCTTTCTTGCTCCTTTCTTTGCAGTTGCCTAAATATTTAACTGAAAAGACTTTCCACCCCTACTCCAAATCCTCTTCAACTATCTTTCAATCTCCCTCTCTGTTTCTTTTCAAAGCATGTGCTTGGAGCCAAAAGAGCCACTCAGCCTGGTTTAAAATCAGCACCCCTCTCTCTTTTTCATTTCCCTGAAGACGTAGCTCCAACCAGGTGCCATGTGCAGAGCAGATGACCTGTTTTAGCTGCGAATTATACAGTGAATTCCAGTCACGCCATATAATCACTTTATGCTATAGTATGATCCCTGTTGCGTGTCAAAGGACGATTACATCTGCACATCACGATGCCAATGCGGCAATCTGGTTGTTCCGACCTCAGCTATCAGAACATGCTTGAAGCCTGTGTGTGTTTCATATGGTCTGTCACTGAGCTGACAGCATCTCAGCATTAACCACACACACATGTTCAACACACAAAAGGCATCCATGCTCTCATCTGTCCACTTGAATTTGAAATCACAAACTTTTCATAGACTTTACCCAACACCCACAAAGCCCTTTAAAATCGATCGTGTTTTCACTTCTCCACTGATGTGGCTTTCTCATTGATACATCATCAGTAAGTGCTACATATGTAGGAACGGAATGCACAGATTTTTTTGAACAGAGCCCTATGAGGCTGTACATAGCAGTGGTTGGGCATAAAGGCTAAAATCAACCCCAAAGTAAGCATGCTCTCCATGTTCATCATCTTAGTTTAGTGAGTTAGCATTTAACAATTTACTGATTAGCACTAAAGTCAAAGTATATCTGAAGCTGACTAGATCATAAACCAAAGTATCGGACATGTTACAATTCTGACGCAACTATAACTGACCAGGTAATCACTAAAGTAATTAGTGTGTATGCCAAGGAAAACATGAAAGGCTGTACCAAATTTCAATCCATCCACTGGTGGCTGAGATATTTCACTCAAAACCACAAATTCAGGGGAATTTATCCTCTTGCTCTCCAATAGCAGTAGAGATATTTGAATAAAACATCAGCCTGCTGGAGGGGCAAGGGGCAGGAGTCAGGGGCTCACAAAAGGATTGATCTTCTGGGTACCATGAATGGCAATTCAGTCTGGATCAAAGTGGCCGAACAACCACCAGAGAGACAGAGTAATAACCCGAGAGACGATGCTAGCATGGCTAACAAGCAGTCAATTAAAGGCCCCTCCTGCTTGGTTAAACATGGAGGAGGAAACATTCTCTCGACTGTGCTCAAAGAAAAAGGATACAGTAAACTTGGCTGTGCCGTAGCGCCCACAGCTGTTCTGTCCATCCCTCACACTCAAATGCGTCCACCATCTGCCTGCTCGGCCAATAATGTGTCAGAAGAAGATGTCCATAAATTACCATAGGAGTCTGGCAGTGCATCAGTTCAGAGCAGAACCGCTGCTCTGATCGCAAGCTGTTGGGCCCATTTATTATCTATACTGAGCATATGAGGTCATTTTAGTAATACCTACGATTTTATTAAACATGCAGATAAATCAGGAGAAGAAAGCCAGGAGAGACTACCTAAGCAGCTGCTCTTTTCTCTGCATCTTCAATGAGCCAATTGTATCATCCCATACGATAGTGCCTTGAAAATGGGATGAATTTATCGATGGCAGCAGAAAAAACCCCAACAAGATTTAAAATTATACTCCTGGATGAAAGTAGGAGCTATGACAACAGAAGAGAGAGTGCTCTGCTCATATAAGGGAATTATATATCAGCAGCGTTAGAGGGTTTGAAATGACCTTTGAGGGATCGGATCATGCTTTTAATCGAGGACAAGTGATGCAGATGACAGTTCCTCCTTTTAGGGAAACAGGAACTCATGAACTCTGGTTTGGGAGTTGGTCAGTAGATAGGAATTGAAAGGAATGAGGAGGATTTCTCTTACATTCCACAACAAGAAAAATATCTCAATATCTCTCTATCTGTTCCTTGTGAAAGAATCGTAAGGGTCAAGGCAAAAACTAGTTGATTAATTAATCAAGCCCTCCTTTGACCTGCAAATGAACGGGTTGTTATTAATTTCCAAATGTTGGAGATTTTGTATAATATCTGCTAAGAAAGAAGAGTCACTCTTGATCAGGAAGGAAATTGTAAACAGTCTTTCTTAATCTCCAACATGAACAAAATAATCTAATAAAGTTAAGGAGCAGTTTATAATCAACAGCTGCGTTTTCAAAATGTGCTAACAAATTTAGATGAAATAAACGCAAAACACAAGCAGCGCAACTTTCCCTGGCTTTTGTTCAATTGATTATTTATTTCCACTAATGTTTCTAGTGTTTCTTCAAGGTGTTGTGTATTTTATCTGAGCGCAATGGGATGTTTTTGACATACCTTAAATAGCCAAAGGGGTTTTACTGAGCCAATAACGATCCATCACAAAATGCCTGGAGTTGCTCCTACCCAGTCCTGTGATTTGGCTTCTGACAACCCCAGTGCTGAGTTGTGGTACACCAGTGGGCTGGATCTGGTGTAAAACTTTTAAAACTTGGAGATGAACTAACTTTCTGTGTTTTCAGTTTCAGTTTCACTCGAAAATTCCAAAAGAGAGGAAAAAAAATAAAAAAATGAAAAGAAATTGTGTCCCCGAGAAGCAGGCAATAAACAACAACTCCGGCTGTGTGCCTGAGGTGCCCATTTTCATCCAATGTTTTAATTAAATTGCTGCTCGTGTTGCATTATTTACCCCATGACACAATTTATAATGGCCACTGTGGACTAATGAGTCACCATGTGAAGTTTAACTTTCCTCAGAACTCCAGATAGTTGTACCCTGCAGAGTATACACTTAGTTGCCACTTCATTGGGCGCTCCTCACTAAGAGCCTTCTTCAACAGACCTGCAGTCATAAAGGCCGCAAATGATATCGGTGAGGGTGGACTGTACGTTAGAAACACCACTCAGCATAACACATCAACACCTCTCAGACAGTTTTAACAAAGTGTTATAATCTTCCCAAACAACAGCCGCACCAACCTTACGTAATCGCCATTACAAACCAAAAACAATTAGAGATGAAATGTTATCAACAACAGCAATCCGAAACAGGCCGCCACAGTTGTCCTGAATCAATTAAGGGATTAAAGTGAATGCCAACCAGGCACAGAAGACAGGCCTTACATCACTGACTTATGTAACTGGCAGAATCAGTAACTGTATATCAAGGCAGCCGTGTCTCTGATGGAAGGAATTCACATATTAAGCTTTAACATAATAGTTTTGGGATGCTGCTGCTATAAAATGTGCTGTGCTAGGACGAAGCAGCTGAACGTGGAGCTGACAGAAACTTTCAAGTACAGTGTAAACACTGTTGGTACATCTGCTCGGATATGTAAACCGTGCGTGTGATTCCTTACTGCTGTCCCTGACATGCATCTGAATGATTTCAGTGGGCGAGCCTTTCTTTCAGCATAGGATAGTCCACAGCAATTAGTATGAGGCTTTTCTGCTGCACACGTTTGGCCCTGTTGCGCAAGCTTTCATTGCATGTCATGAATGTGAACTGTGTGGATATTCACGCCTGGTGTGAAGAAAAAAGCCTTGCGGATATAGATGTCCAACAAAGTGAAGTTTAAGTGCACTTTTTTGGCTGTTTTCTAAATTCTTGTGTGATGGCAACATGACACAGGGGGAATAATTCTTTTTACTTGGGGCCTATATGGGTTTGCTTGACAGAAAAAATACCTCCAGAGGTTTATTTCCCCAGTGAAAGCTGGAACGAGGAGCCATAGCGCAAATAAGTGCTCCCAGAGGGGAACATGACCAAATCTATATTTATGTTTTTCTCCTGCAGCACTATCATCTAACAAGTTAAAAGACTAGGGTTCTTTTTTTTTTTTTAGTTACAACTTCTGCCAGTTCTTGTTGTGACAGACAAGACAGACTGTGAGAATCAAAGTATAACCTGTCATTCCTCGCCGCTCCACTGAGCACACGGATTTGACTTGAGTAATGCAACAACAAGAACGCGTGGATAACGAAGAAATTGATGGCATGAGAAAGGTAAAAACTGTGGTTACAAAACCAAAATTTACAATCGTGAAAGTGAACGTAAAAGGCAGACAAAGAAAGAGATATAGAAAAGGGTGCGGGGACGGGAGAAAAGAAAGAAAGAGACAGAGAAAAGAGACATATGGATGTAATTGAGGGTCGATGAACTGATGATGTCATCTCCCAGTCAGGTTATCAGGCCCCAGGCAAAGCAGCTACAACTCACAAAACATGCCTCTCTTCTTAAAACATGAGAACACCACACACACACACATACACACACACGCACACACAACACACACACACAGCGTTTAATACAGTTTGCATGCTTCTGGAAGAGCCGCAGCTCCCTGGACAAGCCAAGTCAGGTTTGGCCCTTATGTAGCATGGTTAACATGTTTGCCCAAACTAATCCTGTGACCTGAGTGTGTTATCTTTTGGAGTTTGAATTGTGATTTAAGTTTTAGCTTACTTTGCGAGCACACACACACACACACACACACACATTCTGTCCTTCCCATTAGCCTCTTTGGCATGGCTACACCATGACCTCATCTGCAATGGGCTGAACTCCAGAAAAAACACACACATGCACACACACACATACACACACACAGCGCTAGAGCCTGTACAGTCCCATATAAGGACCTGCTGATGATGTAATGGGCGCCACTGACTGCGAATGAGACTCAGTGTGCAGAGCACTTCTCATAATGTTTGGTTTTCCGGATGGAATGTCCACATCACTGGGATCTCCGGGAAAGGGAGAGGTGAAGGAGTAGAGAGGCAATTTATTCTCTGAGGATTTTAAAAAGGACGCAGGCCAGCTCTACTGCACAGGTAGGAACTGCACATTATTGAACAGCGAAAGGTGCATTTAAAAACAGCTATTACTTAAAAACTTGCTTGATAATTGCCAGATGAGCCGACACGGACAAAGCAACTGTTTGCTCGTAATGCAGGGATTAGACAGAGAGATTTTCTTACAATGCTTAAACGGACACTAAATAACCCAAAGAGCACTTTAAAAAGTGTTAAAGCTGTAGATTTAATGATAGTAAATCTGACTACTCTGAAACCTTTTCATTGTGAGCACTTATGGCATTTTGATTTTAAGTTATAGCCTTTTGCAATTCTTTGCTTTAACAGGGGTTTGCATACTTACAACCAAAAATGGAACTATATAAAAACCCATCTTGAGGTTAAGCTGTGTAGTCTACTTATTTATGCACATCAGAAACATTTACCGCTGTTTCCCGACCAGCCATTCATTCCATTTAGAACATTAAAACCTTGCTATTTTAACCAAGCCGCACGCAAATTGCAACTGCTGGTGATGCAAATTCTAACAGCACAACTGCAGATGATCTGAGTGTTTTTCAGCTGGTTTCTTTTCAGTCTTAACAATGTAACATCTCATATTTTATATTTGCTGGCCAACAAATCTTACTGACAAATCAACACCGACTTTCCACAAAACTATTTGTCAAATGTTAGAAACTCTTTGCAACACAGGCAAACCACAAAACATCTTAAGCATTAAATGTGAAATGACAAACCTAATATGCAGTTTCTGAAAATAAATACAACTAAATGTCAGCACTCTGTATCAATTCCTGTTGTTTTTTCTTTGTTTATCAGATTTTTATTTGTATATTGTGTACCTAAACAGTCCAAACTCTTCGATTCTCAACAGCAAAAATGAACTAGTGTGTGATGACATTGAAGCGTGCGAGAGATGACAGAAAATGTACATCGTGAATCGAATTATGTTTGTACATTGCTGGTATGCATCTGGGGAATTATGTGGAGTGACAGCACTTGGTAAAAGTAGCCAGTCTGTAATTACTTAAAGAACAGGGGGGAATTCCTGCCTCTCCTAGCTGGAAATGGGGTGGCATTCGAGGTGCACAGAAGGAGGGTGATTGGGTGCACTGTTGAGGGTACTCAAGGGTAGAGGAACTTCTTAATTAACAAATACTCCCTGCCAAGAGACCATCTGCCGTGCTAGTCAAAACATCCTCCAGAATGCATGTTGCCTAGAGAGAAATGCACAACACAGAAATTTACAGACATATCTGCATGCCGTAAGTTTTACAGGCACGCATAGAGAGTTGCACAAGAGAAAAGAAAGCATTCCTAGCCTCGGCAGAAATATGAGTAGGCATGAAACGCTTATTTAAATTCTTCAAGAAAACTAAATACATGTTTATCCGGGAAATAACACAAATTATTTCGGTGCAAGAGGTTAAGTATAAAAATAAAAATGTGTTCTTGGAGGCTGAAGTAAGAGTAAGTTACACAACCAGAACTTGACCACATCATTTTGTTTGACATAAGTGCCCTTTCTTTTCCTCCACAGACTCAAGCTTCTGATTATAAAGGAGAGAGAATACCAGGACATAAAGCAGGAGAAAAAGGAAAGAGAAGTATCAATTTTAAAAGAGGAGCTGACCAAGCTGAAGGCTTTTGCTCTGCTGGTTGTAAAGGAGCAACAGCGTCAGAGTGAGCGGCTGGAGGAGCAGAGACATCATATCAAAGAACTGAGCGCTATCACCGATCATATCAAGGACGGGGTCAGCGCTGCTAAAACCAGTGCAAAGGTGGAGGAGGAACCCAAATCCCTGTATCTTGTCGTGGAGCACAACAATCACTTTTCCGTCTCCCACCAAAGGCAGAACACCATGACAGCCCCGAGTCTGCTGTCAGAGGTGGAGGTACTGAGGAGAAGGGTGGTGGAAATGGAGGGGAAGGATGAGGAGCTGATACGCATGGCGGACCAGTGTCGAGACCTGGACAACAGACTAGCAAAGGAGACCAGCCACTGCCGTAGCCTGAAGGTTGAGGTGGATAAGCTCAACGGCAGAATCAGTGAATTGGACAGGATAGAGGAGGCTTTGGGTAAAAGCAAACAGGACTGTAGTGGTCTGAGGAGCAGCTTGGAGCGAGAGAGAGAGGCTAGCAAGATGCTGTCTGGCGAGCTCGACGCTCTGAGAGTCAGGGTGAGAGAGCTAGAGGCTGTTGAAGGCCGACTGGAAAAGAGTGAAATGGTAATCAGACAGGACCTGGGCAAGCTCAGGTCGCTCACAGTAGCTTTGGTGGAGGAAAGAAAGAGCATGGCCGAGAGGCTCAGACAGGCTGAGGAAAAACTCAATAGGAAGGAGGGCAAAAGAAATGAGCAAGGTAATTTGGCAACAATAACAGAGAGACTGAGAGAGGAGAGGCAGCAGGCACTGAGGTCTAAGGCAGATTTAGAAGAAAAGATTAAGGGCATAGGAAAGGAGAAGGATGAGCTCCGAGACAGACTTAAAACAGAGGAGGAGAGAAACCGAGAGCTGCAGAGTAAAATAACCATAATGAAGAAAAAGTTACAGATATTAGAAAATAGGAGAGAAAAAGAGGAGAAGTACACATACAGCTCTATTCCCAACAACACTACCCATCTCTGCCAAACTGAGGACAACAAAGTTAAAGAACTGACCCAGGAGCTTGATAAGCTGCGAAAAAGACTTCAGGACAAGGAAGTGTTGGAAGCAGAGCTAATGAAAGTGGAAGAGGACTTTGAGTCCCTGGAAAGGAGGTTCAAAGACGAACAGGGCAGGTGCCAAGCTCTAACAGAGGAGCTGGATGTGTCAAGGAGGGAGCTCTCTAGGTACGAGCAGGCAGAAAAGCAAGAGGTCAACCAGGAGCACCTTCTCCTTTGCCGCCTTCAGAAGGAGCAGGTTAAATCCAGACTCTTAACCAGAGAAGTAGATACCTTGAAGGAAAAACTGCAGAAGCTGATGGGAACAGAGGAGTCCATCTGCAGAGTGCAGATGGATCAGTCCACACTGCAGAGAAAACTGACCCAGCAAGAAGCCAAGAACAAAGAGCTGGCCAGAGAGATGAAGGAACTGACTAGTGAGCTAGAGCGGTATAGACGAGTAAAGAATCTGACACCTGGTGCCAACAACGACTTCTCAGAACACCATCAGACTACCAAAGAGGTACAAACTGCACCTGCAGAGAGCCTGCTGCCTGACTACGGCGGGCACAGCGAGAAACTAGATGAAGAAAATGATGACAAGGATCCGAACCACAATACAGAGGTCATAAACAGAAGAAGCTCCCTTGTCAACAGCCTGAACAGCTTAAACAGTGCAAATAACAACATCAGCCAGTACAGCAGCCATTCAGGTATAGATATGCACCAAACAGGGAATGGAGAAGTCATGACGTTAACACACACACCAGGGCAGCCCTTGCACATCAAAGTAACACCACATCATATACTCAACACAGCCACACTCGAGATTAGCAGCCCCACTGGAGACACAGCCACGTCTTACACCAGCACAGCTGTCATCCCAACAACTGGAGCTTCACCTAAGCAGAGAATCACCATCATCCAGAACTCAGGTTCACCTGCAGTTAATCCTAAGAGCCCCTCTTCAAGCCCCGACCGCACCATGTCCCCACTAAACGGAACACCCATCTCTCGGGCGTTAAGCCCAAATTCATCACGCTCCGTTACGCCTGACCACAACAGCTCCCCCATTCAGATCGTAACAGTCAGGACCTGCTCTCCGGAGCCGGCAGATGTTACAAATCAGGCTATCTTTTGCAACACCCCAGAGCCGCAGAACAGCTGGCAACATCAAAAGTCCAACAGCGCCGACAGAAGTCCCAGTATCATCACATCAGAAGATAATAAGATCCATATCCATCTGGGGAGCCCATATATCCAGTCTCTGAATGGCCACAGCATCCCACAGCCTGTTGGGTCATACTATCTCCGACATGAACAAAGGACTCAAGTGCTTGCAAATGGCTGCCATGTAAAAGGTGTTGGAAAGATTACAAGTAGCATCACTATATCCCCTGCTAACTCTCCTGCATCACACTCCTCAAATATTACAGTAAGTGGCCTCTGTGATTAGGTGAACAAAATCTCAGTCTCATTCCCTGACAAGATTACAACACATTTCCTCTAAGGAGAACCCTGAGACTGATGTATTTGGTAACAGATGTAAAATGAATGCTTTGTGGACTCCAAGAAGAGCCTTTGTAAAAACCTACATTGTTTAATTAGTGTATCTCTACATTTACCGACTTTACCGTCCCTTTGCCTGTATGACATGTGTGCCTGTAGCTAAGTGAGACATGATGCAACCAAATATGTGATGTACTTTCATAATTTTCATAAGTTTCATTCATGTTTTTTTTCTTCTGTTCATTAAAAGTGCTTTTGTTGTTATTATTTATTTTCATTTGGATTACTTTTCAAAAGAGTTGGGTTGCTAGCCAGTTAAAATGCACAACAGCTGGAAAGTTACTGAGAAAAAAAAAAGAAAAGTCGAACCCTGGTTTGATGTTTGTTTGATGAATTACTGGGAAAGAAAAGTTTTACATGTTTGCTGAGCTGGTTTGTATTTAAAGGCTGGAAAGGTTTCTGATACAATGAAACTTGGAGCATCTAGCGCTGGTGGGGGTTTTCGAGGTTTATGGATATTGGACTGCTGAAAGCCTTTTTGATTTCGAGTCAGCATTATGAATTTTAATTGTAATTATTAGAGTCTAAATTACTTCAGTATGAATCATTGGAAACTGACAACTGGTGTACAATTAAACCCTTTTTCAGCTGTTTCATAAATCCATTTCCCCATTTTCTCTGGTTTTCTTCATTAAAAAACTAAACTAAACTAAACAAGCAACCCAAAGTATTCAGCTCATGTAATCTCCTTCCAACTAATCCTCCCAATTTGTAAAAGACAATTTCTAGAGGCATCACTTTCCAACATGTAAAATCATCTGGAAACATCACAGATCAGATTCTACTGTCTGTAAAATGCATAAGAAACAGCACAGTACCAGAGTCAAAACTGACCAGCTGTCTGAGTGTCATTTAAGTGATAATCAACTACAAACACACAATATTCTGAACTTTTGTTGTTGACAACACGGTTATTTACTGCTAAAACTGCAATAGAAAGAATGCAGGTGAAGAACTATCCAGTATATTTAAAGGTAAGGCTAAAGTTGCAAAATATATGAAAAATGACAGATTTATAAAAGAATAATGTGAGGGTGAACCACTAACAGCTAGCATGCTAACAAGGAAAGGTTTTTTGCAGAAATACAATGTACTGTTTGATGGGTAACCTTCACACATGAGGCAAAGCAATAATGTCAGAACACCTTGAAAAATAAATGTTAAACAACAGCACTCGATGTATTATCTGTTTTTAGGTCAGTAGGTTCCTTTTCATGAGCTAGAAGTACCAACCCTGAAACCATAACAACACAGGAACACAACAAGCATTACAATAAAATCTTTAAAAAAATAAAAAGTTCACCATAATGTACAGTTGAATAGTGTGGCAGAATTAAATAGACTAAGACACCTATTGGCTGTGAGACAGCTTTAAGCAATTACAACCAGTTAGCAAAGCCCTGATGAGCTGTGACATATACATAAGAGAACAGCTGACAAATTGGGGTAAATCATAACATCTCCTGTGGAAGAGGAGGCTGGCAGAAAGCCAACATACTGGTTATGTGACGCCAAACGTGGAGAAGCGTCAACTACCCTGACATCACCGGTTGCCAAGGTGAGATGAGGAATCTGATGACAGTTCGAGGCTCGACCGAGGCCCCTCATGAGAATCTTTGTCGTCAGCGTGAGCATTTGGCCACGAGACACATCACCATAAAAGTCATACTGCTCCTTCCAAATCTCTGCCTCATTCTTAAGACTTCAAAGTCAATCCCACGCTCTATCTAACAAACTTCAACTCTCCTTTTCTGCCCTGTCAATTTTCTGTCAGCCTCATAGCCTTTTCTGTCAAGCAGCTCTGTGATATAAATGCGAGTAAGGATGGGATGTCAGTCAGGGTAAAGGGGCCAACCTACAAAAAGAAACATGCGCGCAAATCTCTCGATATAAAAAGTACATGGGTTTTCATAAGTAATCACATAAAGCTTTGAGTGTAACATGTGTGCAGCAAATACATTTATTCTACACGTGTTTTCCATCCTTCCCAGATGGACCTCTACAGCAACAATAAAGATACACATGATCATGGCTCATTACTGTATAGTGTGGGTAAAGCATGCCATACCAGGCCTGTAGGAAAAGCCATATGTTTCTTTTCCAAAGTGCAGCACTACTACATATTTACAGGAACAACAAATGCTTTACAAAAGGTAAATAAATCTGGAGGACTAAACATCTGGTGAACACCTCCTAACACACAGTTGCTTCTTTCTTCTCTAAACAGATTCCTCAGAAGCATGGCTCAACAAGGATCCCCAAGACCAAAGGATACGGTGCCAACAGAAGAAGCAGAGCGCTCAATAAGGGACAGAAGAATCAAACACCTCGAACAGTGAATGCAGGAAAAACACTGACCTGAGAATGACCAACACGCCTCTAACTAAAACACATTTAGCACTTCAGTCTGATTATGCAAATTACTAACTTCCATGATAAATAAATGCAAAATGTATGAATGAACTGAGTTTAATGCAGATGTCTAGTCTGTATAAGGTGATACTGCAACAAAAAAGTTAAAGTGGCTATAAATGATCAATTAAATTAAATATGAAACACTTGAGTCACTGCATGTCAAAAAATAAATAAAAAATTAAACATTCTTTAACATAAATTGGACAGAGGAAAAGAAAGAGTAGCTGTATAGTATGAAAGGAAAAGCCAATCTTCACAGCTGTAGACATACAAATACATAGAGCTGCATTTATTTTTAATAGGCAACGTGTATACTTGTATTATCAGAACAAACAGTGCTTTATTTGATTAGATTACTTAAAAAATGCACGTAAATTATAACAAAAAGACATGGCTGGAATATTGTGTACCTTATTGGCTTTAAGGTCAATACATAACATATTGCACTGATCATGCTCTGTTCACCAAGTATGTGTGAGTTTTCTCTTCATATACATGTATATACAAATGCTAAGCTAATTGTGTTTTGTTTGTGCATGCCCATTAGTAAGCACATACATACATGTCCTAATATAAATGTTTTTTTTTTTTTTAAAGCCACTTTAAAACATAAGCTACTTTATCTTGCTCTGCATCACTCCGCTGTCCAACACAATCATGTGGGTAATCCTTAAACAACGTGACTGCCCTCTATTGGTATGCAGAGTGCATGAAGCTATGCAAGAAATAGCCGCAGGGAACTTCCTCTGCTGATGTATGGGGAGGAATATGAGCACAGCCACATGTATGCATGAAGTTCTGTGTGAAGGACAGCTAACTGTTAGGTTTAGTTGGAGAACAGAGCAACATAGACGACCTCGGAGCAACTTTACCGTTACACTAATGTGTTGCGTGATGACTCACGCACAGACCCAAACACACGTGTTTACACAGTCTGCCCTTAACAACTCGTGCTACCGAGACTCCATGTCCTAACAAAAACACAGGTAAGCTACACAGAACCTCACCTGTACTTCTACACTTGTGGTTATGACAACTGTTAACTGTTAGTGTAGCTAAAGTTAACGAAAAGTAACCGACCCTTGCTAGCTAGCTAGCCTAGCTAGCTAACGTTAGCTTATAGCCAGCTATAATGAAGCGACGTTTCTCGCAGCTGCTACAAGCTAACTTAAGCTTATAGGGATACGCCGAAACCTCTCAAACATTTTATAAATTATTCACAACATGACAATTGAGCGAAATACCTGAATTGCCCTCATTTTTCCACCACTCGTCACCCAAATCGTCACCCATGTTTGTGGACTAGTTATCTGTTGAATCCAAATGTGCCGCTGAGCAGCCAGGGGTGTGTTCACCAGCAGCACGTTTAAACTCACAGCGCAGGTTTTTAACGAGGCTTGTTGTCTCCGTTTAAACACTATATAAAGATGTATGTGTGGTTCTGACAAAGAAAGCTCAGTAAAAAATACCTTAAGTTTATGATAAGCAGTGATGGAAAGTAATCAGTTACATTTACTCTGTACTTTACTTAAGTTTTGTAGTACTTATGCTGCTTTATCCACTTCATTGCATTTCAGAGAGAGATGTTGCACTTTCTCATTTTGTGTGGCATCCTTCTTGTAGGATGAAGCTTTATCACAGACAATAATATAAGAAACTTTTGGTTCAAGAACCAAAAACAGAGTGTCCAGTTGCCTTTTTACTGAAGCTCTTAGGATGACCATGACCAGGATGACTGAGAATTCACACAGACATAATAGGCTTTTAAAATGCAGCACTTTGTTAAAAAAAAAAAAAGTGGTTTCCAACCTCTTTGCTTCTGATGTCCGACTAAAAGCAGTGTGTAGCTGAGGTCATATTCAGATGACTATGAGCTGTTAACAGTAGGTGTGAATGATTTGGGCAAAATGTCCAGTTTGATTTGCAAGGTAAGTTTTAAAAGTCAAGATTCAGTTCAGTATTCACTGTGTAATAGAAAAACATGTGAGGTACAAGCATTATGGGGTGAATGTGAAGAACCGATGGCCCGACAGATGCTGTTTAACATTTCTAGTAAATTGCAGTAATTTGCAAACTGCAGCGTCTGAAATGGAATTTCAATTTGAAATAAATGAAAATCAATTTGAAAACTTCTCACATGGTTTTATTTCAGTAAATATCCAAATGATTCTATCTATCTATCTGTGTGTGTGTGTGTGTGTGTGTGTGTGTGTATTCCTGTATATAAAACAGTTTATAAAAAAGTTCAAACTAGCTTTACTCTGCTGCTTACACTGTTAAAGTCAGCAAACTACTTCAGAGCCATTAGTCTAATAATGCAATAACACGATTCAGAGAGACCAAACCAGCACGTTTACTTTAATCCTTTAACTACATATTGCTGCAAGTATTTATGTAATTATGTCATGCACGACTTTAACTTGAATTGGAGTATTTTTATCTTGTGTATTGGCATATTTAATTAAGTAAGGGATCTAAATACTTCCACCACCACTGATGATTAAAGAACTTCACATTTCTGATGTCAGGGCAGTAAATGTTGCAGATGTTTACAGTGAGGAACTTTCACTGAAATGCAGCAATATTTCTATTTGTGATAAAATCACTAAAGTCTGCCTCACACTGCAAGATAGCAATATGCTGTAGCAAGAAATCATCTCTGGAACAATAAAAATAAAGATAAGACAATCTGGGAAAACTTAAGACGCCACAGCTTGGTCACTAGACTGACAACAGGGACAGTGAAGACGCCCCAACCTGAGGAACCCATGGTGTTTTAAAGGCAATAAAAATGTGGAGGCTGTTTAATTTAACTGCCTATGCCGTGACATTAAATGCATCAAGCTGAAGGTAGCTCTTTTTTAATGCACAACAGGTAACTTATAGTAACTGTTTGACACTAGACTCACACACAAATGATGCTGCAAGTCTCTTGTTTTCATCACGAGACAATTGAGCAAAATAACCCAGAATTTCCCAGTGTCCTGACTGTTATATGGCTGCATGGGGAGAAAAACGCAAAAGTTCGAGGCTCGATATGAAGTACCGCCCTGGAGGCGTCTGCTTGGTCCCAAATTCAATCAGCAATATGAAACAACTACCCCAAACATGTCAAGTCAGAAAGAACTATCTTCAGCCACAAGAAGAACAAGGATTCCTGCGACGGATAATGTGGAGCCTGCAGAGCTTTGATCTCACCGTGGGTCAGTCTGGGGTCACGTGAAGAGACCGAAGCAGCTGAAGCAGCCTAAAACCACAGGACTGTGGTGTGTTTGAACAACCTACCTGCGAAGTACCTTGAAAATCTGCACAACACCTGTCAGATGTGATCACACAAGTTTGTTTGCTGCTCTGTATGAATGTAAGTGATAAACAAACACTATTTGTCATTACTTTTGAAAGCATTGCCTGTGTAATTTTAGTGCTTAAAACTTTTGCAGAGTATTGTTTTACTGTTTTTACTGTGTACCTGGCCAGTGATGACAATCTGTTTATCATTTCCTTTATGGGAAAGATTTACCGGTGCTCACATTAACAGTAGCCTCTACAAAGCAAAGGATAAACACATTGTGACGGTAAAATAACCAACAAATTAAGCACATACTGCTTGAGCTCAGAGCTCCATTCATGCAGTGAGATAAATTACCTGCACTAAATATTTTGCCTGCCTCTATATAATTTGTCCTCTGCTCTCTGAGTGCACAAAAGACCTTTGCATGTTTAGCAAGGAGCTTATTTTTGTTGTTTTTCTGTGTGGGTCAGCTGGAAGCACAACTGTTTTCCCCACAGTGCATGTTTGATGTTGAAAGTAATTAGGACATGTTGTACCATCAAATAGGACAATTATTTTCCATTTTTTGCCAGGATAATTGTCTGAAATAGGTTTTCCTATGTTGCAGCAACACACCCATTGTCTATTTTGCAGTGGGGCTACAGATTCTAGATCTGACCAGCCAGTCTTAGCAAAACACAACGGCACAGGGACCGTTTAAAACTGGTATGGATGCTCTAATCCCTCAATAAACTGATAGGGAGGCCTTCCTACTTGCAAAAGAGGGGGGAAGAGAGCAGTTCGAGGTGTAAGCAGTGCTGCAGGTTGGTTTACGGTCCGTTGACAACTTTTAAACGTCACTTGATGATCACTGACACGTCACCATGGACTATGCTGGCAATGGGCTTTAACTTTTGGAACTTTGCCTTAAGATCGCAGCCTGCACACAGAAGAAGAAGAACGAGAGTGATCAGGGTGTGCTGCATGTGACATAAGCAGACCACAGAGTAGAGGCCCACTTGCTTTCAATTAGCACCTGAATCAAGGCCATTGGCTCACAGCTAAAACCAGCCCTAGTCAGTGTTGAACCAGTGAAAATGTGATGATACAGGTCCAGCAGGTTATATTACAGTCACTGAAGGCCCCAGGAGTTGTCCATTCAGTAGACGTTGTCACCTCAAGATGGCAAATTCAGCAGCTTTTACTGGATTTTTATTGTTGCCTTGGCAGTGCAATATATGTACAGTTGTCCTCAGATGTATTCATGCCCTCCCATTAAAGAAGGGGGAAAAAACAGCTGTCACTGAAATAAGATGAAATTGACATAAGTAGTAATAAATAAATAATGTAAAGAAAATCATGACATTGCTTTTGAATTGTGGTTCAGCAGAAACATAAAAAAAAAAACAACAAAAAAAAAAAAAACAAGCATGATGGGACCCGTAAACTAATATTTCATTGAACAACCCTTTGAGCCAATCACTGCAATCAAGTGTTTTCTGTAACTCTCAATCAGACTTCTGCACCTGTTGACAGGTATTCTGATTTTGGCCCACTGCTCATCAGCATATATATGAGCAATATAATGCCTTTGTTCTTATTGCAGAAAAGAGCAATCCGAATTATTCACAAAGTTAAATTTGGTGAACATACCAATAGTTTATTCATTAAATCAGGGTTACTAAAACTAACAGATATAATAGAACTCCAGACGTTACTAATTATGTTGAAAGCCAAAAACAGAGTTTTACCAGGAAACCTGCAAAAGTTGTTTGTGTTTACTTCAGAAGATGAAAATCATTGAAGAAGATTTTATTTTAAGCACCAGGCTGCTCGGACTACCTTGAAACAGATGTGTATTTCAGTTGTTGGTGTAAAAATATGGAATTCCCAACTACAAGATTTAAAAGGTTGTACAGATATTTATAGATTTAAAAAAAAATGTACAAATGTAGAAAAAATTGTCAATATGTACTTGAAACTTAAACTGGGCATTAAGGATCAATTGTGTTGAGTTGTAAAATTTTACTTGTATGTTTTTTTGTTTGTTTCATTTTGTTTGTTTTATTTTGTTTTGTTATTATAATCAAAGTGGTAATTGGGTAGGTTACTGAAAATCAACTGTGTGTGATATCGGACCATCTTTTCTTTCTTTTTTTGTTTTCTCATTTTATTTGTTTAAATAGGGGGCAGGCAAATACAATAATTTTTTTTCTTCTTGCTGCTCCTTTCCAATCATGGAGGTGTTGATTTGAAAATGTAGAGTGCATTTATGTACAAATTATGTTGTCTACCTTCATGAAAGGAACAAATAAATAAATAAAAATTATAAAATAAAAAAGTGCTCTAATTTGTCTGGGACATTTTTTTTCTTAATTATTCTTTTCAACCACAATTCAAAAGCAATGTCTTATTTCACTAAATTAGAATTTAGCAAATTTTTATTTATTATGACTTTTTTCAGTTTCTAGTTATTTGAGTGACTATTGTGAATTTTGCCTTTTCTTTAATGGAAGGGTATGAATACATTTGAAGATGACTGTAACTCTTAGGTTTACAAAAGATTTCAATTTTTGTACATATAAAGCTGTCCTCCTCTGTACCCTGTAAGATTTTCATAAAATTAAAAATCTCAATCAGCGATATGCAAGTATGTGAATGCAAACAAGGAATGTGACTGGTGTTTACTTAGCTCCTAAAGTACCTACACAAAATGAAGCACACATGCAATTAAACAAAGGGAAACAGGTTGTGGACGGCAAATGAGTGTTGAACTACTATGTATGAATACAGACATGTATTAAAAAAAAGATTTTTTAGTGCAAAATTACATAGAACCCAAAAGCAGTGCAAATACAGTTATTAAACAACAAAGTTACTGACACCAAGTGTACATGAGGTAGGTTGACGATGGTGCAATAGAACAGAGAGCAGCATTTCTATAATAAGATATGCACAGGTATGTGAAAAAGGAATGAAGCCGGATCACTTTGATTCAGTTCATTTTTTATTTTTTTGTCTCTGACATTTAATTACATGAAAAGCCTCCGCAAGTTATATTTGGGTTAT